TTTATAAGTTTTTGAACTTGCAGCCACTACAATTTTTCCTAGTATAGAAACCTTTATCAAACTGAAATATATGGTAAAACGGCCAGAAAACTTTGTTGTATAAAAAGGATCAAAACTTGTGTAAAAAAGAAGAATTCACAGGTAACTTTTGATTCGATTGGCTTGACGGGTGGAAGGCGGGGCTTTGCGACCTAATTAAGGCCACTCGCGCCCTCGAAGCAGTCTGCGTCTCTCTCGCGCGCGTGCTCTCTGATCATCATCTAGCCTCAATTAGGTCACAAAGCTCTGCCTTCCAGCCGTCAAAGCAGTTATATCAAAGCGTAGATGTCTAATAGTTATGAAAAAAAGCCCTTCGACCTCTCTTTCGAAATGAGTGAGTGCAAAAGTAATTATAAATGGAGTTTTGATCTCATCAGACTTGTAATTAGCGATCTATTGAGTGAATTATCATATTTGATTCCAAAGTCGCATTCGTGCTTGTCAGATTTACTTTAAGAAGAATAGGCGGCTTGATAAAATAAATAAGTAGTCGAGTAGTACCCTCTGATTCAACTAGCTTGGGGGCCGAAAGGCGGGGCTTCCTGACCTAATTAAGGCTAGGTGATGACCATAGAGCACGCGCGCGGGAGAGACGCAGACGGCATCGCGGACGCGGACGGCCTTAATTAGGTCGCAGAGCTCGCCAAGCCAAGAATCAAAGGTTATCTCCTAGACTTTGAAAAACATATAAAAGTTTGAAGTTTTCGTTAAGGAGTCCTGCAGATTTTCTGGAAATGGGAAGTTTCGTAGGAGATGAGCTAAATGGGATTTAAAAAATGAAGCTTTCATATTGTTGTTTTGAAATTATTGTTTTTGGTTACTAATTTGTAAAAACATCGCTGGTGATAATTTGTGCTCAAGTTTCACTTTTATTTTTCTTCCATTTCGCTATAAATATAATCCATGAAACCTTTTTTCACTCTTTACTTGAAGTCGGGCGTTCTTTGCGTCCTTTAATGACTGTCATTTCAAATGAGCATTGAGCGCCTCATCATCACCTTTTATAACTCAATTTTTAATTACTGCTAATTCCGCCGACCAATTTCTTCTACGAAGAAAACTTGTCTTCTTATTCCCATTGCTCATCACTAGAATTTCCTGTTGCTATGACAATTAATATCGTGTTAGACAGCTTCAGAACCCTCTCACAATAATCGTACAGCAGATGCTACTAATGTCACTTATTTCTTTTCAACAGAGTTTATGCCATAAATGTTTGTCGCTGCTTGATTTATAGTCTTTGTTGAGTCGGAAACATTTCAAAGAGAGCAAAAAGTTCCTGATACGGGAGTTTTCACACTCCTGAATGGAAAATTTTCCAGGTGGGGAGGAGGTAATGGGCATGTTTCCAATGTTCACTCTAACAAGATACTTATACTTTGTTAAAGTTTTGTTAAAGTTTTGTACTTTGTTAAAGTTTTGTTGAAGTTTTATAAAGTTTTGATACGGAGGGAGAATCTTACAGTTCCGGATGATTCTTTTCCTCATTGGGGGGGGGGGGGGTTGAGGAGGGGAGTCTAGAGGTTTTCGGGCAAGAGCGAAACGCAATGTAACCCACTTTTCACTTTGAAAATCTACTAAAACAGTATGATTTTTGTTTTGATGAAAAATCTAGTATTGATTTTGGAAATGCTCATTCGAGTTCATCGATAAAACTTTTCACATAATTCAGCGGAACTTCCGCAGGAGTTCAGGCGAGTTATAAGCCTTCCTGCACAAATTACTGGAACTTCTGCGGGACAAGCACAATTTGCAGCGGTTCCGCAGAACTTTCTTAGCCATTAAGAAAGTGCACGCTCCAAAATGCAGGGTTTCCACACGGTACTTACGTCAGAGATTAGGAATTAAAAGCGAAAAGGACCATGTGCTGCGGAACCCCAAACAAAGTGCTGCAGAAGTCATCTTTTCAGCACTTCCGCAGCCTTCATTGCAGGAATTCCGCAGCATTTTTGCAGTTTGGGCAGATGACGCGAAAGTGCTTCGGAATTTCCGGTTAATTGTCTGAGTTTTTGATATTGGCATCCCAAATATCTAGGTTGCCTGTGCGTTGTAATGAGCTGGAGTCTGGTTCAAAATCTCACAAATTACAGTTAATTTTCAATCACAAAAGAATGGGGGGCCTTTTATGTGCATTAACCCGATTTTTTAGATCTCTGAACTGGAACATGCTCTCAATGAAGTTTATTACATGCTATAAAGTTCCTGCGAACCTTTTGACCTTACAATCGTAGTTTTAACACTCCGAGGGCATAAAATCAGTAACTTCATGACTCTCTGACTTTGATCCCTTCATGAAAAAACTACATACCTTACCCATTTAACTTCTGAGTGCAGTTTAGTACAAAAAGGGCAGCATTTAGAATTCGGCCCTTCACTCAAAGAGTTCAATCTCCATACAGCTACCTTCGTATCCTTCCCAACCCTTGGATTGGTGACAGATTTCTTGGGCTTAGCCAGACATCGTCTAGCGAAGAAATCGCGCAAGTCGTGCATAGCCTTAATACGAAGTTAATCCAGCCGGCATGGTTTTGATGTATAAAAGGGAGGCGAGGTCAGAAGATTTCAATAGAAGTTGATTTGTAAAGTTTATTTTGAACCCTAGCTCAAACCCCGTTCAAAAAAAACTTTTCATTCCGAAAAATTCTGATTTTCCCTCCTGTCCGTCGCTGCACTTTTCCCACATTTTTAAAACAATAATTGTGCATAATTTTTTTTCAAACTGTGCATGTAAATGGGTTTCATAACAAAATTTTTATAAAGTCCTTATCATCATTCCCCTTGGACTCGAAGGCCAGATTTTTGACATAATGACAAATTTTTGTCAATTTTAGAGCACTCTCGTGTATCGCTTAACTGATTAATTATTTTTTTATTTCTAATTTCAATCTCAGTAAATAAGAAAATTGGATCTAAATATATCGATGAAGTAATGTCGAGAAGTATGATATTGATATGAAGTGATTTCTTTTAATAGAGAGTTCGAAACCTGCAGTTAGTGTAAGAACATCCTTTTGTAAAACATTCAGACTTTTCTCCGAATTTTTGCAAATTATCTTGATTTCTCACAAATACATAATCTGATAGAATTTCAGCTACAGTGAGAAAATTTCGAAAATTTGAAAATACAAATGAATTTTATTGACTGTGAAACCTGCGTTTTCTTTGGCTCAGAACAATTTCGAATGAATAAGAATTTTAATGATGTAAGATACAGACTTCAGATGCAAGAAATACTTCATCCGATACCATATTTTTTGCACTTTTCTAATTTCATTGTCCATTTATGCATGATTTTTCTCATTGCTTGTTTAATTTCTTTCATGAATGTACAAATTTCATTAACCTTTGAGTTGCTTATTGTCAACCAAATACTGCTCCGAAACCCTGCAAAAACCATAGCACTCGTATTTCTTCGTCTATTTCCGTTGTCATTTCGAAAAACCTGCAATAAGTAGATTATCGTACGATCATAATCGTACTCGCTCGGTAACTCGTATTTTGTACTTTGGTCATTTCCCAGAGTCGTTGCCGAAAGAAATTTTACTGGTGGGACCCTCCCCCCCCCGCCCGGCTGTTATCTGGCTATCTCTTGGAGAGAAGAGGAAAAACTGGTCAGTATGCTCTTGACCATTTCGTCTCATCTCTCGTCCACCACTTCGACAGCGCTAATTTGATGCTGCTCGAATTTTGTTTGGAATGGCGATTTTTTATGTTGATTTTGAAGTTGGGCTGACGCAGGACGAGTTTTTTTTTCATAAAGGGGCCGGGGGGGGGGGGGAGTAGGGTAGAGGGGGTGGAGGAGAGGATGATGCGGAAGAAGGTTAGCCAAAGCGGAAGTTAGATATGTCGGCAACCTTCAAGAGGAACCGTTGACATTTTTTAAACAAAACACTTAATCCCACAAAGAATTCTTACACTATGCGAAGAAGAGTAAATAAAACTCAGACAATAAACATCAAAGTGCTAATCTATGCCGTCGCTGAGAAAATATTTTTAGATGAAGAACTTTTCTTTGTCGGTATATCAAAGTATAATTTTGCTCTGTTGGAAATAGAGAAAAATGGAAAAAACTTCTGGAAATCTGACCGGAAACACTACTTTGCATTCCATGTTTGTGTCTAGATTTTGGCTTCCGCCAAGATTATAATCATCTTGCTATTATGATGAAATCGCTAAGGGAATTACAAGGAGCAGGTGGAACATAAAGAAATAAATAAGACGCGCAAGAAAACAATCTGCGATCAAAAGCGTTCACTGCTTCAAATTTATTGTAGTGAAAGCAAAAAGAAACAGAATTTCAATTAGCAAAAAAATTCTTTATGTACTCATTTGATTTTTTTTGAACTCTAGAAAGTATGAAAAAACAATTAAGAAACGAAACAAGGGTTTCAGGTTTTCCAGAGATAGAGGAAGTAACAATAAAAATACTACCCGTTCGATTCGAACGGGGTTCCAAAATTTTGAGCTGGAATTTTTTGTCTAAAAGTTTGTAGTAGGTACACTCCATTTCTGAAACATCAAAGCATTGTTACAGATTTTTTCCTAACAAAAAGTCTGTAACAATGTCAAAATTAGCTTTGAAAAATTCTTTGGGTTGTGACTAATACTACAATCTTTTTTTAGAGATTGAGGCCATAAACTTGCAGAAAATCTCAAATGGCAAATAAATTTTTGGACCGCTGTGGAGTTTCCTTCTCCAAAAAAATTTCTTGCTACATCTACCATACGACCATAGACATTCTAGAATTGAATTTCTATTTTAGATTTTTTTTCAAGAATTTCTAGATGGCGTGTCCGAGGGTACGACGCCCCATTTGAAGAGAATCTGATGCTCCCCTTCTGTTTCAGAAGTCCAAACATTTCCAAACAAATTGGGGTCAGATCAGCTAGCTTTTACCGGGGGGCTCATTGACATACAAAAATGGGTTCGTTATGAGTTCTGACGGTGCAAGATTTCTGAGATGAACGAAGGCGGAAAAGTGAGAAGCTTGGCCTGCAGATGTTAAAAGTTGAAAATATCAACTTCTAGGTGGCAGCCAACTTCTGCTGGAACAAGAACGAGTACAAGGGCAATGTAGGCTCTATTCAAGTACTAGTTCACCTTTCCGAACATGTGCGAGGCTTCGATTACAGCTGGATTCCATTCCCGCAGGTATGGTGGAAGCCCACGAGGAAAATATTATAATGATCATATTTTGAATTCAGGCTGCGTCATTTGACAAAGACAAGGAGTGGATTCCAGTGCACGTCAATAACGACAAAGGAGATATCTCAGCGGGCGTGATAACTATGGATGGCAAACAAATTCTTGGAAAAGTTGACATCAAGAACGAAAGATCAGCAGCAGGATATGGCGGCAAAGAAAATATGCTCGTCGGGCCCGCTTGTGCTAGCAATACGGTGGTTCTATGCCGTAAAGCAAGACCCGGTTATAAATTTGACTAGAATAAATGCTTTCTTGCTGCTCAATAAATTAATTTTAGGTTATTCGATTACGGAATCCCATCCTATTTCGCATCCAACAAAACATAATTCGCAGCCAACAAAATTGACTTCGCCGTTAACAAAACCCTCTAGCTCTTACCGTGACAGCTTCTCGTGCAACGTCTATCTTCTTCTTCTCTTTCTCCTTCTTGGGCTTGGGGCTATTGGGTGCCGACTTATTACCTCCTCTAGTGGCTAGCACATGTGCGGTAGCAGGATCGTAGTTTGGATCTTCTACTTCTTGTATTCTAAAGTGAAAATAGTATGAAAATGTCCAAAATGATTACAGTGCATGAGCCATAAATATTGAGATGTCATTTGCACAACCAAATCATCACAGAAGCTGTCAGACAACCAACCTGTAGCTCAGATTCCGGAGCAAACAGACGACGTTTTCCACCGATTGCGAGTCCACTTGATTTCGCTGGATGGCAATTGTCAGAAACTGCACCAAGCTCTCGATGAGACCTGGACATCCACGGAGTCGCTTCCGTGCACTGGCATTTGCTGCGCTGATATTCCTGAGGAGCAAAACTGACTTCAAAATTGCAAACAATTGGTGGATATGCTACCTCAATACGCCCGTAGCGTTTTTGAAGGTTGCCGAGTTATAATGGCGAGACGGGTCGCTGTCGTTTGCGATGCCATTATGCTGATATCCATTTGATGGTGGACAAGCCTAGAACATTCAATATAAAGTGCTATACCGCAAAAGAAGCGGAAAACAAGTCGGAGTTCTTCATAATACTTTAGTGGATAAAACGGCTATGACAACACATCAATTTTGTAAAAATCAAAGATCACATATCTGAGATGCAAAAAGTGCATACGTGAATCAAGTCGTTTCCTCCACGAAAAATGCTATGAAATAGTGCTCCGCAAAGTTTGTAAAAGATCTTGTACTAAGGCGCAAGCGCATGAGAGTCACTGGCTGATGGGGCAATGAGGCAATTCAGAGCATCAAATCCTGCTTTACTATCGAGAAAAACAAGAACAGAATGGTCAAACCTGCTGAACCAATGCTTCGGTTGCCGCTTCTAGTATAACCGGTTTGAGCATATCGGCGCTGGACAGGTTCCATAAAGCGGCGGTGGCCTCCTCTTTAACTCCCGGATCGTGGGTAGTTTGCAGTAAGGATGATAACATTCTGATACCATCACCATCCAAGACAGCTAGCTGAAACATGCAGGATTTTGGATACCGTGCACAAGAACATATGCTCATCCAAGAATTCGACGAGCTCTTTTGTGGAAAGGAGTTGCTCGATAATACCCATATGACGATGGATGTGCAAATAACAAGGATGGTCCTGAACACAAGATGCCAAAAATCTCACTTCTACTAGCTATCGCGCGAATTGCTGCAAGTGCACAAATATGGTACACTTGCGGCGATTCGCGCTCTCCTGTACTCCATTGACCTCACATTCGAGCGAACAGCTAGTGCCCAAACAATGCAGCCAAGTACTATCAAAGAGCGGTGGAACGTTTGTTTTGGCTTTTTCGTACAGACGTTGGTTTTTTAGACCCCAAATGGCTCCAGAAGAACTTTTGTTTGCATAAATTTGAGGCAGTAAATCGGGAAGTAAATAAGAAAATAAAGGCAAAATAAAACAAAAAAGAAAGGAAACAGAATGAAGCACACCTTATTCCTATCATTTTCCTTCCCATAACATAGATTCTTCAGACATGCACAAGCGTTCTTCTGTATCACTGGTAGTTCACTCCGTAGCAACTGTATCAACTTGGGGATTCCACCATACTCTCTGCAAAGTATAAAGATTAGATATGGACAAAGTTGCAAAAAGAAAAAAATGGCGCACCTCGTTTCATCCTTGATCAGATTATCACTGTACGTCAAATGCTGCAAATACCCGCTGGCGTTCAGCTGTTTTTCTCTATCAGGATTATCGAGGTAGTCGATTACTTCTTTCAATGATGGGTCACGCCATTGCACTGAAGATGCATTGATTTCATGAAGATAAAAGAGCAGGATTACATAAACTAAGCCACGACGCCAAACTCAGCACGAGACTACAACATATCCTACACTTGTCAGAACCTTTCCCACGATGCAGAGGTGGAGGCGAATCATCTCTCTCAGGAAGAGGTGGAGATTCTCGAATCATCTCCTCTTGCAGCAACCTTATCGCTCCAAATCTTTCAGCTTCAACGTACTTCGCATCACCAGCTGCAACAGAAAGGCATGTCCTTTACAACACGACCACAACATCGCTATTCAGCGAACCAAGGCTTACTTGCACTTGCATGTATGGTAACCGGCGGAGATGGTTCGGATGCCTCTGAGCAACCAACAACGTTGTGAGCCAGCACTCGAAACTGATACTCATGTCCCACGATTAGATCGCCAACTAAAAACAAAAGATCGTAGCACAGTTGGAAAGAGACGCAGAAACTCATAGTCGAAGATGCAACAAAAATGGTGCAGGCTAGCAAAGCAGTTTAGCGTGAATAAGCACGGAACTGGCATAAATAAAATAGTACAAACAGAAGACGCAAATACGATCTATATCAACCAAAAACCTCTAGTATCCAAGATCTCAAAAATATCCCCAGTTCTTTCATGATTGACTGTCTGATACTTATATAGACATACAGGATGTCTCAAAAAGATGTGCGCACTGTTTGATCGTTAATAACTCTCTTGCTTTCATGTCTTTTGAAAAGCTTGAGGTACCGTTCTGTAGAGTGAGGTTAAACTTAGATTTAAAGTATGGAGTGAATCATCGATCACTCTTCATTACTGTAGGATTACGGTATGAACTTCCAGCATACAGCGTCACAGTGAAATAGGACTTTTGACGAACTATTTCAAAAAATCTGAAAACTTGTGTAGCAAGGTTTTTTGTCGTAGTGATTTCACTACACAACTTTTTAGCAAATTTCGAGCTTTCTTGATGGCGTATTCACATTTCTGACGAACATTGGAAAGACAGTTGTAACCCTAAATCTTGAATAACTAATGAAGGAAGCATTATATTGAAATGAAATATTCAGATCAACAACTTCGATTCGACCAGATTAAGAGTTCCTGGCTCGTGTGGCTTTTTTTCCGAGGCAAAATACCGCTTTTAACTGCTTAAAATTCTCTTCGAAGTTCCTACCGTAATCCTACAGTAATGAAGAGAGACTGATAATTCGCTCTATACAGCAAATCAAAATTGAACCTCGCTCTGCAGAATGTCACCTCAATCTCGTCAAAAGACATGAAAGCAAGAGAGTTATTAAGAATCAAACAGTGTGCACATCTTTTTGGGACACCTTGTATATACTTGCTATCAGATGACCAAAATCATATGTGGAAAAACCACATCCAGGAGATAATCTTTGCCACAACCGACTTTGGTCTAGGATACCCAAGGAAAAAAGTCGGCGCACGTAACATCTGTATTGATTTAGAAAACGAAAGATCTTCAAAAAAAAAAACAAAAAGAAAAGAAGATATTGTCAAGAGTTAAAGATCATAAAAGTGTTAAATGAGAAAATGCAATTAAAAACATACTGATCCAAAAAAATTTACCCGTCATTTTGCAGGCGTGCACGGGCTGATCATTTACTTTGTACCAACCGGCATCTTGTTGAAAATCACGAAATTCAACGTCATAACCCTAAACCGATGGATAATTAGAGAATGTGACCAAAATGATTTATAAGAGCCTACCAAAACAGGCAGAGTACTGTGAGCAGGTAACCAGCAAATTGTTATCCGTTCACCATCAACTTCTAAATACTCAGGTGCTTGAGGCTTTGCGGGAACACCGCGCATTGAGGTAGCTAAAAATGAATCTAAAATTTCTGTCCGAAGGGTTCACGCAACTTATACTCACGCTTCCACAGTGGACGCAAAGAGATAACATCAGAAACTTCAGAGGGTATAGAAGCTGAATCACCAGCGACACATATGACACGAAATTCATATGTAGACCCTGGTCGAAGTCCCTCCACTGTAACGAAGGGATTCATGAACAAACAAAATAAAAAAACTTTGATTAAAAAAACCACTCAAATCGAAAAGTTGGAAAATAATATATAAAACCGTACCATGAATACAATTTTGGACGATAGGGTGCTGATTCGCAGTGTACCAGTTCGGATCTCCAACTTCTCGAAATTCTACTATATAGCCAGCGCCTTCCTCAGATTGTGCCCACTCCAGCTTAACCCATTCCATGTCAGCTTCGACCAACTAAATTCGAGCATCTTGTAAAAAAGTTCAGATTATCGAACAAAGATCAATAAATATTCTCTTAATAAAACTGGTACAAACCTGAGGCTGGCCCGGTGGCCGCAGACTAGCGGCAATGGGACGTGAACCAGCTCCACGCTGAGGTGCCGCGGGTTTTATGTGAGTGGCCCCTGATGAACGGCTAGGTGCTCCCAGACCATCGGCATTCCGTGCACGGACCCGAAATTCGTACACTCCATTCGGCCGAAGGTTCTCAACTATAAAGAAAACGATATTTACAAAAGTACGCACACCCTCAAAATCGCGACATACCTGTGTAACTGCATTCGCGAACCAATGTATCGTTCGCGACCATCCAATC